TCCTCTTTCGCCTCCTCTTGGCATTGATTCACAAGTTGGGCAAATATTATTCTTTTCTTCATGCAAAATCATCCAAGTTCGCATTTATTTATAATTCCTATAAAAAGCATACAAAAAAAGACATTAAACTAACAAAAATGCTTGAAGACTTACAAATATTCATGCTTGAAAGTACTTGATTTGTTGGTAGAAATGCCCGTCATCATATGGCAAAACACTTGACTTTATTTTTATAGCACTTCATTTCCATGTTTTAGTCTATATATACCTGAGAAAAGGGCACGTATGTTGTCTTACATGAAAAGTAGATGAAAATATAAAATAATTTATATAAATGGAAAGATTAAAGACTTAATAGGTTAACCTTTCGGGTCAAGTTGGGCTCCTGAAGTGTGTTGTGCCAATTTCACATGTGGTGTCTCCCCAAAAAGTGGTATCAAAGCTGAGACCCAAATGTTGTCAAGTGTATGCACAAGATGAATTCAATGTGCCGAATGAACGTGTGGGCCCTGGGTCGCAATGGTGGAAAAAATTCTATGAACGCTTGAGGTGGACCTTCCCTCCACGGTAACGCGAGGCTAAAGACGCGGTGGAGACCCCGAGGTTATTGTGCAGACCATGCAGAGATATACGATGGAGAGCACATGGTGGTGGGATCTCTATGTAATGCAATGGAGGTGCGATGGAGTATCCAATGGAGGGAGATTGTTAGACGTGCAAATAAAGTCCCACATTGGTAACAAATGAGAGCTATAATGAGTTTATAAGGGAGTAGGTTACTCCACTCACTGAGTTAACCTTTTGAATTGGAACACCATTCTCTTATGGTTGAGTTCATGGTCCTAACAAGATGTGAAATGATTTATATATATAGAAGGACCTAAGACCTAATAGGTTAACCTTTTGGGTCAAGTTGAGCTCTCGAAGTGTGTTGAGCTAGTTTCACATGTGGAGTCTCCCCAACAAGTGGTATCAGAGCCGATGATTCGTATGGGCTAAGCGATCACACTCAATTGCAGTTCTCATGTTGCCCCCGTGGAGAGTTGGTTTTGTTGCATGTGCGGATGGTGGAGCATTTGGTGGACTCACACGGTTTTGGCTCTCTTTTTCATGCTCGAGTTGGCTTCCATTTGGAGTGTGATGCTTGGATGTACCGACTACTAGAAACTTTAGTTCAAGGGAGAACTCGGTGAACACAAACATGATGGGGGATTGTTGAGAAAAGTATATGTGTATGTTGCCACATGGAAAGTGGATGAAGATGTGAAATAGTTTATATACATGGAAAGACTTAAGACTTAATACGTTAATATTTTAAGTCAAGTTAAGTTTTTAAAATATATTGGACCAATTTTACATGTGGTGTTTTCCCAACAGTACCAATGTCGACCTAATCATCTTGGCAATGGCCAATTTTTTATCGTGTGTTTTCTTGACGATATGCAGCTCGACACTCTATCATAGGTATTTTAGTTAAGGTAGTGCTAGGTTGAATTAGGAGAACTAAGTATGGAGAGAAGTCATTAACACTCAGAATCACAAGAAAATTCTCAAGAAGCTTTTTTACTTTTCAAAATTGTCCAAAAGTAGTTTAATTGAGGATAATCGCACTTCCTTCACGTTATGGGACGGAAATAGGTCTAGACCTGAAAAAAGGCTTTCCAGAAAAATGAGTATCGACTATCATAAAATCAAATGTCTTGATGAGATTTTAGTACAATCTTTTTTAATCAAATGTGTGTTTGTTGTAGTGAGCAGTTTTTGGGGTCGAAAGTACGAATATTATGAAAAATCGATTATACAATTAAATTAAGATTAATGGATCAATAACAATTTGTTACTTGTGTACATCGAGAAAGACATTAGTATACATGAGAGATTAACTTTACTACTGTTGATATGTTATTAAGCATTTCACAGAGTCATGGGTTTATTCAGGTTCATTTCAACCACAAGTAGTATATTTTCTAAGCTCATTTTTTCCTTTTTTTTTCCAAAAAAAAAAAGAAGAAAAATCATATTTCCCAACTGCTCTTAATTTAATAGTAAACTCTCTGTGAAAAACCAAACAAAAAACGCTAAAGATCTATGATACGTGATCATCAACAATCAAGTGTCGTGATTCTCCTTGATATATTCTCTTTAAATACAAAAAGACTATTCTTTAGCATTTTATATATATTACATTGTGAGAGAAAAAAAAGGTATATCTATCTGTAGTATATGTTCCTACAGATTATACCATCGTCGAATCTAGGAGTTCTAAAAACATACACAGAAATGAGAAATACTTATAAAGAACAAAATTTACCAACCGAGAGATGAAAAGGGAGGAAAAAAAAAAAAAAAAAAAAAAAAAACAGTTGACCACCATGCAAAATGCATATCCTAGAGGCTAACATGTCGTTTACAATGCTGTCGTTCAATCCCCTTGCTAGAGACGTTGTACGACACTGTACAATTCAATTTAACGACAACTTTCTTCTTCACAACATCCGTAATCTTCACTCTTCCCTCGATCCTCGTGTAACTGTCAAACGTCAACTCTCCAGATCCCCAATCTTTCAGCAACCCTGGCGATTCCAACATCTTCGCCGTCGAAATCTCGACCGTCAGATTCATCTTCACCGTCCGCCGCGCTTTGGCCTTCCCCGCCGCGTTCCACCCCTCGCCGACCGCCGCTCCGCCGTAGAACACCGTCGTCGTCGTGTTCGCGTACCTGAACGATGCCGCGTTTGGGTTCTTCACTGAGACGCCGGCGACGAGCGTGACGTTCTTGTCGGTGTCGATCGTTCCGTTGGCGTAGGTCTGGAGGGGATCGACGGTGACTGAGGTCATCTTGACGATCGGGCCTTTGACGTGGAAAACGGTGATGGCGAGAATCATCATCGTGACGGCGGCGATCACCAGAATCGCCGACGCGCAGCCGCAGCGTTTGACGCACGAGTTTCTCCGACGATCAGCGAAGAAGCTTTTGTTCTTGTTGTCGTCGTTGTTGGTGTTGTCTTCTTCGTCGCTGCGGAACAAGTAAAACGCTGGTGCTAAGGGCTTGACCTGTTCTTTCCGATCAGCCATGGCCGGAGAGAATCGTAGAAAAAAAGGTGAAAGTGGCGGTTGGTAATATGTGTGTGTGTGTGTGTATGTGTGTATATAACCGTATTATATATTTAGAATATGTGTAGTTCTTCTGTTGGCCTTCACAGTGTATTTGATTGTGTAATGTTCGACAGAATTTCTCGGTAAGGTTGGCTCAAACATTGTGAACCTTCTTCATCGAGGTTTGAAATTTTGAATATTTTTGACCCAACAGCATTCACGGAATCGGCACGGCAAGACTCTGTCTATTTTTATTAGTTTTTTTTTTTTTAGAACAGATTTTCTCACTTAGGATGTGGATGTATAACGTATACACTTATTAAATTTTTAGAGTGCGTTAATTTCACGACTCTAAGACATTATTACAATATTTTTCTCATAAAAATTTAAATTTAATTTTTTTAGTACAATATTTTAAATGGTGTGTTTTTGAAAATTGTTTTAAATGGTGTTTAAATTCCAATAAATTATGTTCTATCATATCATTTATTCAAAACATAAATATATAAAAAAAAAAAAACAGTTCATAAGTATTTTAAAATTTTCAAATAACGTCACGTCAGTTGTGATTAGTTAAACATTACAAATGTGATTAGTTAAACATAATTTTAGACGCTAAAATTGACAAGATAATATGAGTCCGATGAGTTGACTTGACTCCGATGTGTGTATATAATAACAAATTTGCTTTCAAATAATTAATGGAAGCTTCCGCGAGTATATATATATATATATATGTGTGTGTGTATATATATATATAATGGTTTAATTAATGGATTGTAGTGGCCAAGTTGGTGAGTATGGCGTCACCTGCTTGAGAAAAATTGAGAAATTACATTATATTATTGGACGGCATTTGGAGTGTAGTCAAAGTTCTTGACTATTCTTGGTGTTGAAATTTGTGTAAATGACTAAAGGTGAGGTGAAAATGAGAAAGAAAGCCGGCGGATAGCGTATCAAGTTTTGATTTGCAACAAAATAGATTTGAGTTGATGGGAGATAATAGTAATTTCCAAAGTGGATGGCGGAAATAAATTGGAATTTTAGTATGAATGTGACGATGTCACAACTTAAACTTGAGTCACTGGCCATGACTTGTGTAGTTGTGTTTATGGAGATGATAAGTATCTCAAACTTTAGTTTATTAACTCGAAGATTCTTCGATATCAGTTAATAATTAATTAATAATTAATCAATTTTAATAAATAAATTATAAATTTATAAATGATTTATTATTTTTTCCCTGTGTATAAGCCAATCCCGACAATACGAGAGATTTACAAGATTGCACAAGAGTTCAAAGGGAAAAAAAAAAAAGTCAATAATTCTAATTGCAATTCCAACGTTTTTTTTTTTTTTTTTTTTTTATAAATTTATTTCCTAATTCTACAAACAAATTGTAATCTAGTTATTAGAAATCAAATCTATCTTTCTCTGATTAAGTAGATGCTAGCTTCTAGAGTACTCACAATAGCTCATTTCCAAGTGCTATATCATCACAAGGAGAGCGACCTCCTTGAGCAATATCATCAATTTTGAACACCCGAGTCATATATGACCCCAGGCTTCCAGTCCGAAGCGCGTGCACACACGCTTCGTCCAAATCCATTTCCCGGCGTAACCCGCCGGAAACACAAACCGGAATTGCAATGCCCCGGCCGGAACTCTGCTTGGGTTCAATTACATTTAATGCCATTCATTACACAAAATTGTTGTTTCAAATGCTGTAGGACCTAGCTAGAAGCTTTTACAAGATGGAGTTTAACAGGTGGATTAGCTTGGTAAGCTTGGATAATCAAGAATCTCACAAGTTATTTCCATTTCTGTATAAAGGGAAAAAATATGTATAGTTTCGCCTTTTTTCCATAAAGAAAAATATTTTGGAGCTTCCAAGAGAAAAGCATTGTTGTTCTTGCGAGCTTCAAAGTTTCCACGCATTAGCTTGCCTTTTCAGAGAGAACTGAGACGAGCTCTGATCGAGCCTTTTCGAGTGCGTTTGATAAGTTTTCGGGCTTCCTTCCACCTGCCTGAGCGAAGTTCGGCCTGCCGCCACCTCCCCCGCCACACAACTTAGCAACAGGTCCTATGAACTTGCCAGCTTGTATTCCCAACTCCACAACTCCCGGAGTGAATGCAGCTACTAAGCTGACCTTTCCCTCACCTGGACATGAACCCAGTACTACAGCTGCTGGATCTTCAAGTGTACTGATCAGATACTCGGCTGCACTTTTCAGTGCATCGGCATCAGTATCCTCCATGCTCTCGACCAGGACCCTAACATAAGATTTTTCAAGAAAGTCAGAGAATTTAAATCAGGGTTTCTTCTCAAATTCATTGGAAAGTTATTGGTTATTTTGAAATTATAGGCTCCTATGAAACTGATGCGACCAAACAAGGATAAACCATTTATCAACCAGTGATCAATATCTTAAAATAATGAGCATGAGTAATGGTGAGGATTCAACTGATACATTCTCACGAATTGTTTCTTGGTCTATGATGTTTACACACAATTCATTAGCTTGCTATCATTTCATCGTAAGAGTTCCAGACCTTTCAAAAAAATAAAAGAACATTAACTGAAGACAATTCTATTCCAGGAAGGAGTGGTTTATGTTGAAATTCGGTCGTACATCTACAGCAGTGACTACGTATAGATGGGGAAAGGCAAGTACCTAATTTCCTTCGAAGTTCCTACTGAAAACACCTTGCTTGCTAAAATTGAGGCCTTGTAAACTGCTGCTTTTTCTTGCAAAGCAGAAACCTCATTTCTGGCAGTTCGTAACTCGTCTAATAGATTTTCTACTCTGGTCGTCACTTCTTCAGCTTTCACCTTCACAAAGGTACCAAAAAAATAGTGAAAATTCTTGCTCTGCTTACGAGGAAATACTTTAATTTATGAAACAGAATACTGAACAAGAGCGCAAAGTAAGACTTACTTTGAGAGTGGAGCATAGCTGTTTCATATGGTAATCTCTGGAATTGACATATTCAATGAAAGCTTCACCTGCTACAGCTTCTATACGCCTGACTCCAGATGCAATGCCCTGTTCAGAGATTATTTTGAAGCCACGTATTTCGGCAGTGTTGCTAACATGGGTACCACCACAAAGTTCCATGGAGACACCTGGAACCTCTACAACGCGTACCTACAGTATTCAGAGTCAGGTTTTGCTTATGAATATCATGCAGTTATATATTTGAATGGTACAGCACTCTAAAGTTCTTCGGTCGAAAGATGCGTCTTCACAAATACCACAGAAAGCGGTTATGGGGACATATGATCTGAACTCTGAAGTTTGGTATAGAAGAAACACATAGCCTGGAATAAATATCAAGATTCTTGTCCTAAATAGATATAATTGCAGTTTTATTATTGGACAAAGAAAAACTTGTTCCTAAAGATAAATATGAAACTAAGCTTGATTGTCCTCATTAGACACTTAATATTCATTCTTTATGAAGTATTAATAGAAGGAACTTTATTCAAACTAGAACAGAGGTGACGTAGAAAAATTTGCAAGAGTTTCATTGTCTTTAAAGCTGAAAGAAATTCAAACCTCCTCTCCATATTTTTCCCCAAACATGGCAATAGCTCCTGCTCTTTTTGCATCAGCAAGAGGCATTACTTTAGTCTGAAGAAGCGTTGCATCCCCGATCCATCCGTTTATTAACCTTTCAATTTCCATGAGCTCTCTGTCGAGGAGTGGTCGATGGAAGTTGAAATCAAATCTGAGACGATCAAAAGCCACTAATGAACCTGCTTGGGATGTTTCCTGTCCTATAACTCTCTTTAATGCAGATTGTAGCAAATGAGTAGCCGTGTGGTGAACCTGCAAAGTCCCAATGGATGTTCAATATTCAAACTTGACTAGTTTCCAGAACACGCATGGTTAAAAAAAACAGTCAACGAGACTACCATTTAATAGATTTACACATTTAAGTTCCTCGTTAGCATTTCAAGCTTATAAATAAGTTGATTGTAGTATGTAATTTGCATCTTAAACTTCCTTATCAGCCAGTACCTTTGCCCGTTGCCGCAGATTTGCATCTACAGATGCTTCTACTTCTTTGCCAACCTCTAAAACGCCTTCTTTGATAACACCCTTATGCACAAAAATGCTGCCTGGAGATTTTTGGACATCTTTTATCTCGATTACTGCAGTCTGTTGGCTTTCACCTTCAGTCACATATAGATAACCATTATCTCCAATTTGACCACCTGATTCCGCATAAAATGGAGTTCTGTTGAGCAGGACCTCAACGTCACTTCCTTCAGCAACCTGAATCACTGATTTTCCATTCACCAGAAGGCTTTCCACGATGGCTAGAGCAGAAAGAGTTTCATAACCAAGAAACTCGGTATCAGGAACTCGTTCTGTGACATCTGCACTATTTTCAACCTGAAGCTTAACAGCATTATGTGCAGCTTGAGATTGTCGTCTCTGCTTTTCCATTTCAACATCAAAACCAGCCATATCTATGCTTACGCCATTTTCTTCGGCCACTTCTGTTGTTATTTCCACGGGAAACCCGTAAGTATCATATAAGAGAAATGCATCTTTGCCAGATAAGCAAGGAGCTGTTTTATTCTCTTGGGCACTTACTAATGCGTCAGCCAACATTTGGTCAAGCAACTTTTCTCCTCTCTCCAATGTTTGTACAAACCGAAGTTCTTCCCTTTTCAACTCTTCAAGAATGCGGGGTGCTCTGCCCTTTACATCCACATCAACATGGGTGCTCATTTCTATTACTTCTTCTGCAATTTCTGGTAAAAACGCTCCTTCAAGATTTCCCCTCCCATCACCGTATATACCTAGCAACCTGCCAGTACGAACAGCCCTTCTAATGAGCCGCCGAACTACATACCCTCTCCCAATATTTGATGGAGCAACCCCATCTGATATGAGATAAACAATTGCACGCAAATGATCGCCTAAAATCTGAAAACAAACGGAGAGAAAAATGTTTTTTTTTTTTTTTGAGAAAAAGGATGCATATGTTGAAAGATGGTTTTAATATCTGGAAATTTCTTGAATAATACTGTACCTTAAGATTCATTCTTGAACGATCATCAGCAAGCTCATATGACACATTTGCCAATTTTGCGGCCCTTTCTATAATTGGATAGATCAAGTCAGTCTCGTAATTGTTTGGAACCTGCAGGAGAAGCATGAATGGAATCAGAAGAATGTTTTTAGATTGTAAGAGACAATATCTATGTTGCTAAATACACATGCAGTTCTAAATTGGAGCCACATTTGTTCTCCCTCGAAAGACAATTTTTTATTTATCATTCAACCAAAGGAGATTAAATCATAACATTTTCCAAATACCAATGGAATCAATACCTTCTGAAGTATTCGAGCCATACGCTCCAGGCCAAGTCCAGTATCTATGTTCTTTTGTTTTAAGGGCTCAAGTGAACCATCGTCTTTTTTATTGTATTGCATGAAAACCAGATTGTAGAACTCTATAAACCTCGAATCATCACCCAAATCCTGAAACTTAATTCGTCAAACATTTAAAGAGAAAGAAAGACAAAGTAGAAGAATGATTGTCTTCAACACTTACAACATTTGCATATCCCCTCTCAGGGTGGAAATCATAATAGAGCTCTGAACAAGGACCACACGGACCAGTTACTCCACTAGTCCAAAAGTTGTCATCTTCACCCATTCTCTTTATGCGCTCTACAGGTACACCCACCTGAGGAAAAAGCCATGCTTTAAAACTTTACTCTTAGAACTAAATTTCGAAAGCTTCGTCTGCTTAAATATAAGATGGTTCTCATCCAGTTTTGGTCCCGCTAACATACTTCCCCATTTCCAAAATCAGGCACGAGGTATGACAAATAGTTAATGCCGTTCAAGACCAAAATTTATACAATAGGTATTTCATGCTGCAGAGACAAAGAAAGTCTCTTTCCATCAGCTGGCACTGGATGAAGAAAAGGCACGAAAGGGGAAAAAAAATCTAAGACTAAAAGGAGAGCAGAATAAATGCTTCTAGAAAGCGCATCGAATATAACAAGATTCTGTATCAATTATTGATCCGAGCCAAGAGAATAAAAGTAATGACTATGGCTGCGAAAGAATGGACACACATAAGCACATGAAATCAAATACAAGGTTTAATATACATACAATTAAGATAATATTCGTGTTTCTTTTTGCTCTCAGATAAGATTCTTGTTGGGCTAACCTCATCATGCCAGATTGCAAAAGCTTCATCATCATCTTCATAAACACTCACCCATAATCTGTCAGCTGGTAACCCATATCTGCAAGTGAATAAGGGACTCAGAAAATAGTTTTCTTGCATGGCCAGAAAATAAATGAACAGACAAGAAAACTGCACGACCCTACAAAATGCAGCAATTTATGAACATAAACAACTTAAGCAAGTTTGACTGCCAAAAAATGAAGCTGTAACACAAGAACTTATCATATTCTCAAGAAAGGTCATCAATAAACTTCTCGTCTTACTATTTACATAATGATTGAGTTCACAAGAAATGAGATCATGATGCAAGAAACACAAACATTTATTGAATTAGTTATTCATTAAAGATATGATGGTTCTAGCATACTCTACAGTTGAAAGTTCCCATGCCCATGTAATTGCTTCCTTCTTGAAGTAATCACCAAAGCTGAAGTTTCCAAGCATCTCAAAAAATGTTTGATGCCGTGTTGTTCGGCCTACATTGTCCACATCGTTTGTACGTATGCACCTTTGTGCAGTAGTAGCTCGAGGTACTTGTCTAGGAACCTGAACATGAAGAGCCACATCAAACTTCGACACAATACAACTCAAGACATGTTGAGAAACTTCATTTAAAACTGATTTTATGTCACCTTCCCAAGAAATATAGGTTTGAATTGAAGCATTCCAGCAATTGTCAAGAGAACGGTCGGATCATCCGGTACAAGAGAAGCACTTGGAAGAACCTTATGGCCACGGGAGGCATAAAAATCAAGAAACCGACGGCGAATGGAATCACCACTCACGAGGGGATCATTGGACTCATCCACCTTCAGTTGTTCTGTCACAGGCTGTACAGATGCTGAAGAGTGAAGCAGTAAGTAGATTATGCAAACAAAATGTAAAAGCATAATAAGTAACAACTAAAGCTGTTCAAGAAAGACATCGTACACAATTAGCTACAGCAACCTGATGTACTTCTTCTGCTAAACTGCAAGCCCCATTCTCCTTTCAACACTTGGGATCCGAAGGGCAAGATATTGGGTGTAAATAGCTTCATGGTTTTTCCTGTAATGAAGCCTGTACATTTCCAAAAATCTAATTTAGAATATAAAACTATGATTGGCTCAACTCCTAACAACTTATGCTTTTAGGATAGATTAATAAACTAACATAATATCAGTGCAGTTGTAAATATACTCCACAATTGTCATCAATCACATGTCAAATCTTTAATATGTTTTGGGTTTGTTATCTAAAATTCGTACCCACCTCCTAATAGCTTTAGCTTTGTAAACTAGCACTAATATTTAAGAACAGTTTAGTTAACCCAAAAAAGCTGAAAGGAGGGGTAGGAAAGAAAAAACCATGTTTCATAGAACAAATTCAATAAAGCTTATAAACCATACAAATGAAGTTAAAGAAAATGAACAGGAACAAGTAGTCAATTTTGAAAATTCCTTGAAGCCAAAGAGGTCAGTGAACCATTGGAAAGACCAGAATTCAATGGGACAATGGGATAATGCTCTTACAGAATCATAAACCGACCATGAAAGTTAAATTTCTGTTTTTTTTTGTTTTGTTTTGTTTTTTTCCTGAGTTTGGATGTTAGTCCCACATTGAAAATGAGAAAATCCAAAATACTTAGCAAGTTGAAAATCAAAAGAAATCATATTCAAGTTTCAACCATAAAAGTTAGAAATTGACAATAGTTTCTTGGTGCGTATTTGGTTTGAGAACCAAATATCGGTGAAAGCTGATAAAAAAAAAAAGCTAGAGGAAAGAAATGAGAAGAGAGTTAGAGAAGAAAGTACCTTTGCAAAGCGCGAAGGAGCGATGCTGGTGAGGAGGGGAGGTGGGTTTCGGTAATAAGGGCGAAGTGGGAAGTGGGAAGAGAGCGTTCCCGCCATTGCTTCTGCTTATTGACTGTGGGAGCTTCAAGCTTCCCATGGCGACCTCTCTGAAGAATTTCCAAAAAAATATTTCAAATGGGTGTTTATATACGTTGGGAGGGGAATAGGATAAGCCTTTTTGAGAGGTTCACACATTTTTTTGTTGCTTTATTTATCAGAGGAACCCAATAAACCAGACCAGACGCCACCGAATCACACACTCCTTTGCCCAGTGTTGAACAAGTTTTCTGTCGTTTGAGTTTCATTGTCGTTCATTTATTTATTTAATTATTGGTTTGTTTAGCAGCCGTTTGATAGGTATGAACATAAACTCAAAATTTTTTTATGAGAAAACACATTGGAATAAAAATTTTTGAATGGAAAGATTTTATATCCATATGTTATATAGAAACATTCATGTGTTTTTGGTAATATTAAATGAATATCTTGACGTTTAAAAAAAAAAATTCTTTTTTGGTGTTTTAAGATCATTTTAGTTTCAAATTTATTAATAAAAAAGATAAATTTGACATTAAATGTCTAAAAAATGATTGACAGAGAGAAATAGGGGTGAAGAGAGAGAGAGCAATGAGAGAGAGTGACGAGGGAGAGAGAGGGGAGAGAGAGAATCATAGAGGGACAAGAGAGAGTGAAAGATATGGAGATTGAGGAAAAAAAAAAAAGAGAGAGAGAACTAAAAAAAAAAAAACAAGAGTGATATCAAATTATCAATGGCATAAATAATAAGTTTGTGAAAAAGAGTAGTTATTTGTGTAGTTTTTTCAAGCTAAAACTGTAGGGCTTAGAGGGTTTCTAGGCTGGACCCAGCATGTGGACTACCACGGGCTGAGAACCCAGGAACCCGTAACAAGGTAATAATAATAATAATAATAATAATAATAATAATAATAATAATAAATAAATGATATTATACTCTTAAATCTTGTTCACTTTAGGAATTTAAATTTTTAATTCAAATTAAGATATTATATTTTTTGAGAGTTTTTAATTATAATATAAAAAATTAAATGTAACATTTTTTAAAAAATTTTAACTATAAAAATTGAAAATTGAAAATATAAATTGATAAAATAAATGAGATTTTATTTTATAACCTAACACAACTTCAAACAATAATAAGGAGGCGTTTGGTTCATGAATTAGAATTATATTATTAGAACCATTTTTAATTTACGTGTATTTTTTGTGAGAGAAAATACTGTAACGAATTAAGAACCATAATTTAAATTATAGTTTGAATCCTCCAATCAAACGTCTCCTTAATGATCCTGACAGTTGACACTCGTCGTTAGTCACGGAAGAATTTTCCTCTATTCAAATTGAATTCCGTGATGCTGCCCGCTAGTTCGTATTTATAATATAAACGCATAACTCAGATTTCATAAAAAAAAAAAGAAAGAAAAAAAGTGCTGTAAGATTATTATTTATTTATTTATTTATTATTATTATATGCCTAACACAAACTACGTACGAATATATGCATATGTCCCTATGAGCTACTTTATGAGCTTTTTGATTATTCGATTTGCAAGCTGTTACGTGAAATTATTATTAAATCTACCATGCATGACGCTGGAAATACCGCGTTAGAAGTATAATCGTCGTATAAAGCAAAACTATTAAATCAAATGAAAAAAGAAAATAATATTAATAAAAAGTACTAGGTAGGAAATAATTCTTCATCGCGAATCTCTCCGTCTAAATATCACATTTTGATTATCATACTTTTCTTAATCAACTTTTTCATATTCTATATATAGAAAAAACAAATAAATAGCAGAAGTCATTAAAAGGTATGTTAATGTACTTACTTCCACAGTTTAACCAATAAATATCAAGAAAAATTACACAAAACAAAATCTCTTACACATTAAAAAAAAAAATTACTGAACTTATTTTAAAATTGCTGAGCTAATTTTAAAGTGCTTAAAGTTAAATTTTTACCATTAATACTCTTTTAATTAACGTAATTATTTGACTAAAAATATATTAATCCAAATAAAATTAAAAATCCAAACTCATTTATCTCCTCTCCAAAAAAAAATAAAAAAAAACAAAAAATAAAAGAATGTAATCTCCAAAAACAAAAACACAAACAAACATATACAACAAAACAAAGATAATTCATAGTAACTAATCACATCTCAAATTCTTGATCATCTTGGTTTTCAAAACCAGAGTCATGGCGCAATTCATCTCCGCCGTCTTCCTATTCTCGAAAATCTTAATCAGATGAACTCTTCCAGTAAACTTACAATAACTACTCAAATTCACCATTCCAGAGCTCAAATCGCCGCCCAGATTGTTACTCCCCTGCGGCAATCTGCTCGTCCGGATCTCCACCGTCACGTTCACTCTCTTCGTCGCCTTCGCCGTCGCCTTCCCCTGCCTGATCCTCTGCTCCCCCAATTTCCCCCCTCCGTACAGAAAAACCGCGCTGTTGTTGCTCCCGAATCTGTACGGACCGAAATTTGGGTTCTTAATCGCCACCGTTGCGATCAGAGTCGCGTTGAGCGACGGCCATGGCGAGGTGGAGTAGTCGAGGGATTTTACGGTCACTGATTTGAGCTTGATTTCGGGAGACTTCGATCGGAGAACGATTAGGGCGAAGATGAGTAAGATTGCGCCGAGGATTACGATTCCGGCGAAGATGTAGACGAAGCATTTGTTGGTTCGCTCCTTGCGGAGGGCTTTGAAGGCCGGATTTTCTTCGTCGCTTCTCTGGTGGACTCGCATCGGCGCCAGCGGCCATGACTGGCTCTCTTGATCTGCCATGATTTTAGTTTCGTTTGTTTGTTTGGGAAATGGGAAAGTTGGCGAGAGAAATCTGGGGTTTTAGACTGATTTTTTGATTTGTGGGTATGGGAGTGGGAGATATATTTACACTTATAGAGAGATTGGGTTGTAACTAAAGTGTGCGATTGTGTTTTTAAGACTTGAAATTAGAATTTAATCGGACCGCGTAGGAATGTTGAATTGGGAAGTGGGTGGGTCCCATTTTTTTAAGGGAGAGTGGGTTCAGTCTTGCTACGTGGGCGTGTCACCTTTCCAAATTTTGTTACCTTTCCAAGTTTTGTTACCTTTTCGTTGTGTAAAAATTAGTGGAAACCAACCATGTTTTTTTCTTGGTCCCAAAAAAAAAAAAAGAAAAGTTTGGGGGTTTCATTTTCAAGAAAAGAAAAACATATTTGGGGAGGTTTTATTTTCCTAAAAAGGAAAATATGTTTGGGAGTTTTCTTCAAGGGTGCTACGCGGAATATAGTACTAAAAAGAAAAAAAATGATAATTGTCAATGCTAGTATTTTAAGGCGATTGATCAATAATGGAATGTTATAAGAAAGAAAAATAGTATGAAAAAGAAATAAGGAGAATAAGGAAGGAAATCCGATTGGAACTACATTACTTGTTTAGTAAGTAACATTAATAGATATTAGCCAAAAAAAAAAAAGTAACATTATAGATAGAAAAATAACATTCCTCTTATTCTCCTTTTTAATAATGCGTCAATGCCTATGGCGACTTTCATTTGATCATATATTTTTAGAGAAGGTTATGTTTTACCTATTAGAATATGACAACTTATTTACTATATTACCTAGTATTAAAATTTTGATGAACCACATTTTCAGGATTTAGAATCGAAAAGTTAAATCTTTATTACTTATAAATAATGTGTTTCTCATTTTCTTATATTTTAACCGTAGTTTTACTTTATATCTTTTTTGATATGATTCAAAGATGATACAATTTTATAAGTAAAAACAAATATATTACTAATATATGTGTAAAAACACGTCCTTAGTTTTATTTATTTTTAGTTTTTACTATAGGAAGAAACTAGAAAGACAAAAAGAAAGTATTAAAAATTCAAACTTATACGTTTTTCGTATGTACTTTTAACCTTAAAATCACTTATTCAGCCATTTCCAAAAAAAAAAAAAAAAAAAAAACCCTTTAAAGCACTTGAGGTTCCAATGCAATCTAAGATCTTCTATTATTATTGTTTTTTTTTTTCTTTTTTGGTAACGTTTAAGATCTTTCCTTAGCACAAGGCACAAACGTACATATAACATAAAAAGCATTGAGAAAAAATAAAAAATAAAAAAGAAGAAAACTTAACACAAAGGCTTAAGCTTACGAGGTTCATTTTTAAGATCTAGAATTAGAATTTCTTCTCATCAGTAAAAACGAAAAAAAAAAAGAAAGAGAGAGAGAGAGAGAGATTCATAGTTACTACATGGAAGCATGATTTTTTTAAAAGAAAAATGACTTGTTTTATTCAACAACGTAACACCTAAATCAATTTGTACAAAACAACTGATAAATTTAAAGCTAGAGTCAAGCTAAATTATGCCAAAATAAGAAGAAAACACATACAAATAGTTAACATGTGAGCTAGAAAATTTTCAGATCGAAAAATTTAACAAATAGAACCACAAATAGCTTGTGAAATATATCATTAACAATATTATACTACGTGGAAGCATGATGATGTCACAAGAAGCCGCCACCTCAATCCTCATGAGTACTAATGATCTGAGACTTTCGTTGAGCGTTTCAAACCAGAAATGACCCTTTTGGCGGCTGAAGACTAGTTCTGTTTTGAGGAATTCATCTTCTTGCGTTACAACTTACACGTGGTGAAAATTAGTAAGAACAAGTTTGAACAAGTGACCGCCTAAATTCAAAATCACCCAAAATCATTTTTTGTTATCCATTAGAATAACGAAATCATCTGAATTTTAGGGCAACCGAAGTATTGTATGGGAAATATGGAATGAAAAATTAAGATTAAGAAACATATAATAGGATAAGGCATTTTTTTTTTTTTACCTTATCGATTTTTTTTCCTTAGTGTTGTACTATATTAATTCCTGATTGAAGAGTATGCTACATTGAAAGAATTTTTTTTTATTTTTTAATTTTTTAATTTCACACCCGTTTAGATCCTAAATAGATAATGTAATACAGAAAAAAAAAGAATATGTTATTTTACCGAAAGTTTAACTAATTAATTCTTTTAAGCAAATGGAAGGTAAAAATGTACCGTAAGGAAACCATGGGATGTAACTTGTATGACACTATCTCTGGAAGAAAAGCTCCTTTATTATTACTTGCAAACTAAACCATAAAAATTAGTTATGATAAAAAAGTAAAGTCTTTAGTGAAGGTTGGAAAATAAGAGGTTAAGGATTAAGTTTTTTTTTTTTTTTTTTTTTTTTTTTCAGAAAAGCGACTTTAAATTCATTAAGAAATTTAAGATTAAGAGTTTTTTTTTTTTTTTTTTTTTCAGCTAAAGAAAAAAGGGAAGAAAGAAAAGAAAAATTGAAAAGAAAAGAGAGAGTTGCATGGTCCATGCACTTTAAGACCACTTTTTATGTGATAGCGATATATGTGTTCTCCGAGTGGATTTCATTTGTAAAACTCCAACTTCTAATTATTTAAGATTACCTTTCCAGATCATGAGTCCAGGATCCAAATCAGTGATCCTTTTCCAGCTTGTTTTTTTCAGAGAGACAAAAAGTTCCAACCTAGTTTGTTCTCCAATCTACAAGAGAAAAGGATATAATAATAATAATAATAATAATAATAATGATAATCGGACTTGCACAATTATAGAATCTAATGATTTTATTCTTCGTCTTCTTCTTTTTTTTTTTCTAAAATTTTGTAAATAATGGGACTCGTAACAATTAATTATAGAAGTACTTGGGATTTGACAAACTGGATTTGTAGTAAAAATGAATTTAGGACTTTTGAAGTGAACATATTACAAATTAATAATTGTTTTTTTTTTTTTTTTTTTTCACAACTACACTAGATTTAGTTATAATTCTTATTTTCTTTTCGGTATATCTACATATTGAATGTGGCACATTAGGGTACGAAGGATTTTTCCTAGCAACAACAAAGGAAGACCCACTCGAGGGCCAATTGAAGTACATACTTGACGTTTCAACTTCAAAGAGACAAGATCATACAAATAATCCCTTCAATCCCACCATCTTTTTCGCTTCATGATGGTGGTGATAAATAATGCTTATCAAGTAGCTATATATATGGTTCAAGACTTTTTTTGGGTCTTATTTAACGAATACGACTTATAAAGAAACCATCCATACTCATAGCAGATAAGTCGGTATATCTCTCAACTAGCGCAATTTTTTTAAAATAAAAAAAGAAATTATTAGTGTTATCACGCTGTTTATTTCTTTCATCACTTTAAAAATATCAAGAGTCCAATATTATAATTGAATAGAAAAGACCCGACTCATTCTACTCAAGTGATGAGCCCAATTTTCACATATGCCACTAAACACCTAACGTTGAACTAGACATTAACCGGACAAGGGCCCTCTTGTTATCTAAATCTAACGTTTTCTATTTGCTGATAAATTCTGGGGGAAGCAAAGCCAACTTCTGTGTCTTGAGACTTGAGGCCGCCAATACACGCCATTTGATGGATGCATGTACTTTTTTGCCGCTTATAACTTCATGAAGAAATAATGTCGTTTTGACATAAACATTATGAGACTTTCCAACGCGACGCTGGTTTTGATATTTAGGGACTAAGACTTTAACATGAATTAATGTAGGAAAATCAGGCATGATCAAATTAATAATTAGGTGCATTGTTATGAAAGAAAATGAGGCTTTAGTCCAATCAATTAATGACCTTTTTCTTGTCCTCTTGACACAACAAACCAGCTTCTTTTATGATCTTTCTAGTCCTTATAAATGGACTTGAATTGGGATCATTCAATCAGTCATACTAATTGCATCTTCACCAGAAATCAAAGCTAGTTGATGTTCATAAAACTCGGCATAAACTAACGGGAGAAATTGCTCAAAACATTGGCTTACGAGTATTGGTATATGCGATGATCACCACAATATGCATAAGTAGAGCTGATATTTTAGGCTAAACTAAATGGGCCAGCCTAATGTCCGTCACTATTGGTATGTGTTAGTGTTTATGCCCTTAGGAATATATGTAACAATATTCTTTGAGATATTTTAACTATTAATAAAGATTTGTTTATTTTATATATCTATGAATTGTCCTCTTTATGTTCATAATAGTTGAATGTATGATAAGCAAACTGAAAGTTTGAGACTGTCATTCTAAATCTTTAGGTCATGCATGTAATGTGAAGAACATGCGGAAGACAAGAATCTAAAGATGATATTCTAAATCTTATGATTCACAATCGAGGGAATAAAGTTGGGCGCTTTATTCATGTTAAGATTGTTATGTTGTCTACTTCCTAACGGAGACGGCTTGTCTTGGTCATCGGAGGTGGGACTCCATGGGTGGAGACATTGATATAGTTTCTAATGGTGAAATCTATATTGGATCGGACCAAAGTTGAATTGTTTTAATTAATAATTCTGTTTGAATAAAACAATTCACTTTTGACAAATTATATGTTGTCATCTTAATCCTGAGATGGATGATGAACCTGTATACTGGACTTGTATCCTTTGATGTACTAAAGGGAGACATCCTGACATTATGTAAAGGTACGCTTGCCGGTACATTGGGGGTATGACTCGTGTATGCGTAGATTCGTTATTCATAGATAGTGGAATCCATAGCTCCTATAAAGAGTCAATGATATCCTCTTATGCATTATCAGTGGATTGAAAAATATAAGCGCTCAGCCATTGGACTACTCTGTGTTATCTAATGGTTTACTGTTTGTAATGATACGAATAGTATTTTTCCAATGGTATGATAATGGAACATAAGATAAATGTAATCAGGAAGGTAAAACGGAACTAGACCTT